TTGGACCTGCCTCCTCACCAGCTCAGCCTGGGAATCTCTGGACATACAGCAGCAGTGGCCTGAGGGACCCTGTGAGCTGGGGAGCCTTGACCTCCACTCCTGGGCTCTCCCGCCTACAGCTTCTAATTGAAAGGACAGGATGCAGCCAGGGCTCTGTGTCCCTGGGGGCAGGGGCTTCCTTAGGTAGTCTTGGGAAGGATTTATTTCCCCAAACAGTAAGTTAACACCTGTGTACCACACACCAGGCCAGGTGGTGTTGGGGTGTGAGGAAGGGGTTGGACAAGAATGAGGGTGCCCTGTGGCCTCAAGGAAGCTTGAAGCCTCGAAGGGCCGGGGGCCAGCCCAGAGCTGGTGCCAATGTGAGGTGAGCAGGGCCTGTGTCCTGGAGCAGCAGAAAGTCATGGGATGACAGCAGGTTAGAGAGGAATCACCTTTCCTTGTTTCGTCTTTCGAACTGCTCTCCGTTATTGTCAGGACAGGTTCCTGGAAGCAGCTTGTTCTGAAGACGTTTCTTTCTTACCCACGGAAGCCAGAAAGCCTTTGAGGACTCAGGGAGGGGCCTGCAGAACTCAGCGGTGGGGGCTCAAGAGAAGGCAGAGTGCCTGGGCTCCCCTCCACAGTTGTGTTCCCACCATCTCTTGGGGATACTCTGAGCACTCGTGGGAGGTTGGGGGGTCCTCTCCCCAGTCCCCAGTCCAATAGCCTATGCGAGGGACCAGGCCACTGGGGACGCAACAACAGAGCTGATAGGGGTGGAGAGGGGGTGTCACTAAATTGAACTATGCTACATAAACCCATGATGACCTAGGAGCTGATTCACGTGGCAGGAGGTGGGGAAGCTGTGGGCCTGACTGAAGAAGTCAATGTTAGGACAACAGGGTGAGCCCCCAGTGAGGTGTGCTGTCCTACTGCCTGTCTGGGTCCAGTTGGCTGGACTGTAAGCTCCTGGAGGGCAGGGCTGGGGCTGAGTGTACTTCTTTGTCCCCCGAGGAATTTGGCACGTGGGGGTGCTCAATAAAGATCGTGAGCTAATGAGCGGGTGACGTGCTTGTCCACACTCTACTCAACCCTGACAGCTTCGCTTTTGCCTCAACTCCTTCCCTCAGATCCCCATTATCACTGGGAATGGTGTCCCCCCAGCGCCTGTGCTCCCCAGAACCAGTGTGGAGGAGGGTGTGGAGAGCAGGGAGGGCAGTTCCTGGGAGTGCAAGCCTGCTCTCCTGAGCTGCGAAGAGCGGGTGAAGGATGCGCAGGTAACCCATAAGCCCAAGCCCCGCATGTGAGTTCAAGTTTCCTCCTTGCGTCAAGGACTCCCATTGGGCACCCACTGGGCAGGCTCCTTGTCTCCATAAATAAGAATTTTCCATATGAGTTTAAACTCTGTAAGAACTGGCCAATCAGAGGCCCCTCTCCTCCTTCCAGCCACATCTGCCATTTCTTGCTTTCTGAGCCCCAGCTGGGTCCCCAGCCAGGTGATTCTCACTGACCTGAACCCAATCAAGCCAGAATACAGTCAGGGAGCTGGGTGTGGAGGTAGGCCAGTGACTCACAGGGTCAGGCATTCTGGGGAGCTGGGCCCTGGCAAGGAACTGAGACGTGCCTTGGTGGGTGAGGTTCTGGGCCCAAGGTGAAAAGCCAGTTTCCCAGCAGGTATGTGCAAGAGCTGCCTAGAAGGCATTGCCTAGCTGGTACTCCGAGTGGGGCTTGTGAAATAGAGATGCCAGCATCCTTCCTCCACAGGGCAGAATGGGCTTTTTCTCTGTGGGAGGGAGGCTACCTCACTTGGGGCATTTAATGATCCTTAACAAGGCTCACACAGTGCCCAGTGGACAGCCCTTGCAAAGGTCCCGTGATGAGTCTAACTCTGTCTGGTTATCATGCTTGGCTGGAGGTAAGGCTCCTGTGTCTCTCATAAACCAGTCTGTGAAATGGTCCAGTGACCCAAGGACAACCAGAGCACTCAGATGCCTGGGAGACTCAGGCTGGGGCCAGGCCCCCCTCCGTCCCCCGGCACCAGTTAATTTGGAGAACTTGTTTCCACGAGTGAGAATAAAGAGGTTGCCAAGGAGGACTCCTCTAATAAATATTTACAAGTTGCTCTGCCTGAGAAACCCAGACTCAGGATGAGACTTCCACTGGTTTACCTGGAACAAGATCAGAATTAACGTAGCCTGCGGGAATGCCTGGAAAAATCTGCAGCTCTGCAGAACCCTCCCCACCATGCTTTGAGGTGACCACTCTGGGGACAGTGGTGGCATAAAGGGGGCCCTCCCCATCGTGTGCAGGGAGCCCCCTCCTTCTCAAAACATCAACAGACAGCCATATTTACTTTTTAAAAACACCCCAGTTTGCTATAGCCACTCCAGAGAACTAAGCTCCCCAGTAGTGTTATTTCCCTTGGTTTTACTTCTTGCCTGGCCCCCTTCCCAGTGTGGCTGAGTCTCTAGGGTGCTGAGCATGTGCCTGTGTGCGTGCGTGTGTCTCTGTGCAGCCAGGGTGTCTGCCCTGCAGAGAGCTGCCTGGGCATGTGACGTTGGGGAGAAGGCAGCCACCCAAGGAGGATTGCCAGTGAGCAACTAGTTTCACTCAGAGTTTTGAGAGGCCCTGGCAAAGCCTCAGGCATTTAAAGCAGCTATAATAAAACTCTGTATGGTTTCAGGAGCGTGAGAAAGGCACTAGAGGGCATGCCCTCTGTGCACTCGTGGTCTCTTGTCACCCAATTTCCACTGGGGGGCAGTAGGGAGCAAAGATCAGAGGCTTGTCCTCGGATGCCACTTTATGAGCAACAGGTTCCTGGCCTAGGGGTGGAGGAAGGAGATTTCTAGCTGAATATGTGCCCACTGCTGTTCTGTTGTGGAGGAAGGCCTGGAGAGCCAAGTGTCTTGGTGCTCAGTGTATTTAAAAACCTCGGGAAGCACAAAGTTCTTAAAGAACAAAGAATCATCCTGGACCTCAGAAATCAGAGGCAGGTTTTATGGGGACTACATTTTGAGGTCTTCTGCAAGAAAACTAAAATAAAATGATGAATACTGACTTAGGGTAAAGGCGAATATATATTCAGAATGAAAAAACAAGTCACTTTGAACTAGTGGTGCCTGCAGAGTGACGTCCCATCCCTTTTGGTTTCTCCTTAAGCAATTTACCAACACACTTCCACAGAAGTGCTTCCTGGTGAGAACCCTGGCCTCCCCTCTGCTCCTCGAACCTTCCACTACTCTGTCCTTGCTTGTGGGCAGATTTAAGCATAAGCCTCATCAGCCTCAAGGTGAATCCATCTCTGCCCAGAGTGGACTTGGTCCCCTGCAGTGACAGTAACAAGACAAATGCCTTCCGTTAGCTCCCTCCATTTGTTTCAGGCTCTGTATTACAAGGTGTAGATTTACACAAGCATTTACAGCATTCACAGCAATTTTTTATCCCTTCACACCTCACTGGGAAGCTAGTGAAATGCAGATTTCCAGGTCCCACCTCCAGGGGTTCTGTTTCCCTTTGTCTGAGTCAATAGTCTCATAATGTATACCTGAGGCCAGGTTAATCTGCTCGAGTAGAGAGGCCATATCTGAGTATGGGACAGCCAGGGGCTGGGCTGGGGGAATGGGGAGTTAGCTTGCAGTAGGTACAGAGTTTCCATTTTGCAAAATAAGAAGAGTTCTCGAGATGGATGGTGGTCATGGTTGCACAACAATGTGTTCTAAATGCCACTGAACTGCACTCTTAAAAATGGTTGAGATGGTAAAGTTTTGTGTATTTTACCACCAAACAATAAAGAGATACCGTGCCTGGAACTGGGGCTACCACTTGACTGAGTCTGCGGTAGGCTGTCCTCCAGATCCATCTGGTTTTCACAGGAACCAGACTGATCAGTTAAATTAAGCTTTAATGCATCCTTCACCCACTCTTTTTTGGGGGGGTAGGTAATTAGGTTTATTTACTTATTTTTTGATGGAGGTACTGGGGATTGAGCTCATGACCTGTGTATGCTAAGCACGTGCTCTACCACTTGAGCTATATTCTACCTCGCCGAGTACCTCTATTTAAAAAAAAGAAATGAAGAATGACATAGGAAGTATTCAATTAAGAGACACAGATTTTCCCACTATGCTTTCATTCATTGTTTTCATGTCTGTTTTATCTACCTTTGTCTTCTCTTTAATTCCAGCTTTAAAACATATTGTACTGAGTTTTTTATTTTCCCAACCTCATTAATACGACCTTGTCGTGTTTGGCTCAGGTACAGAAAGCCGTAGGGTCCTATAATGTGGATGGAGCAGTGCAAACAAAACTCAAGTGTGGTGGGGGAGAGGGTAGAGCTCAGTGGCAGAGTGCATGCCCAGCATGCACAAGGCCCCGAGTTCAGCACATCCACCAAAAGTAATACATAGATAAACCTAAATACCTCCTTGGAAAAACATTTTTTTTAAATTAAAACTCAGGTGGAAAACCCTCACAGATTCTCACCGTTCTATATTCTTATAATTCACATGTGGCAATACTGTTTTCCTGTAGCTCAGGTGCAATTATCTAAACCTTAGGAAATTGCCGATTTCAAGTTTTACACTTGACCTACCCCATGACGGTGAGTCTCAGAATTAACATGGGGGCTGTGCCAAACATGAAGTCTCTGGATTCCAATTACACACTGGGGGACTAGAGAAATGACCACAGTGTCCGCACACTCAGTGGACCCATTGTGAGCCAGAAAGGGCCAAGAATCCACTTGTAACCTGGCCTCCACCATGTCCCCACTCTAAGAGGGACATGTGATGACACTTGGGAGCTCTGAGGATCAATGTGAACTCAGATCCTACATCCAATGGCCCTGGCAGTGTCCGCACACTCACCTCCCCTGGGGTAGAGTTAAACAAGCAAGTGCCATACGTTTCTTACGGGGACGACTCGGGGGAAGCTTCACTACAGACCTTTGCTCCCAGTTGCAGGGTCCGGAACCAGCCTTCCTTCAGTAGGTTCTGGATCCAAAAACTGTCTCAGGTCTGGAAGGCCGGCAAGGGATCATTACTTTTTATCAGGGCCAGTGCCGCAGTCTCTGGTGATCCATCCTTTCACTGTTTAATTGTTTCCTTTAATCATACAGACTGAGCAGTGCCCTTGTTGGCTGGCCGTCTATTTTGCCCCTCGGTAGACCAGGTTCTCTTCATTGTCTCCATAACTCTCTGTGGGTCAGGTCTCCCTGGCCGCCACCCTGTCTTGGCCACTTACTACAATAATTCTGATCTCTTGGCTTCTGACAGTTAAGTGCTGTCACCAGGCCTCTGCTGTTTGGAATCCGTCATCCAGGGACGACAGGGATCCCGGTCCTGTGATGGCGTCTCGGACTGTTGGCCACCGCTTTGCTTCTTAGTGATGCTGGTGCACCTTCACCCTTTCCATCCTATTAGTTTGCTGAATGGTTTATCCTTAGAGAAGCCTACGCATCGGGCTTTCCCCCAGCTTTATGTAGCACGTCCAGTGTCGCAGGGCCCCTTCTCTAGCCTTTCAAGCACAGTTGGCCTCACTCGTTCAAGCCATTGTCTCCTGCAGGCTACTGGAAACCATCTTAGCAGCATGATCACACCATCTCAACACCAGGGCGATAAATCCCGTATCCTGGGACGGGGCTTCCAGAGCAATACATCTCCCTTACTCAACCCTTTTCCACTCTCTTTGACTCAGCACCCTCGAATCCAGTCCCAAGCGTTCTCTCTAGAACCTGAGGCTCCTTTGGGGTCTGGTCCCTGTCCTCTGTTATCAGGCCCAACATTCCCCAGCTGGGTTATGTCATAACTTAACTCTAATTACTAGCCTAGTGTCTGGGAGCGGAGGGACACAGAGCCCAAGAGGTTCATGTTGGCCTGCAGTGGTGTGGCCAGTTTACTTTCTATCCAGTTTCTACCTCACTCACATTTCTTTACCTCCTGATATATCTGTTTAGGGCATCTCTTTCCACTAATACACCAGGGGTGGTGGGTTGGGTAGTATCCTCCTAAACATTCAAACCCACCTAGAGCCTCAAAATGTGGCCTTATTTGGGAACAGGGTCTTTGCAGATGTAATTAAGCGAAGACAAGGTCACACTGGATTAGGGTGGGCTCTAAATCTGATGACTGGTGTCCTCATAAGGAGAGGAGAGGACACAAAGGGACGCGGAGATAAGATGGTCACGTGGAGATGGAGGCAGAGATTGGAGTGATGCAGCCACAAGCCAGAGACCAAGGGGGGCCACCAGAAACTGGAAGAAGCAAGGAAGGATTCTTCC